ACACATCATGTTTAGGCTTGATTAGAAGATTGTGCTTGTCCCATTCTAAATATGATAAAAATGAGGCTTGAGTATTAATCTGAGGGTAGGTATTAATGAGTCTTTTGGGTATGATATTGAAACACAAGGCTTGTTCATATCAAAGGACTCCTTATCTAAGAGGCAATCAAGACATATGGCAAATGAAAGAGTTAGTTTATACTGAACTCAGACTTCCAGGCCACATATGTGTGACTTCTCACACCTTACAGAAAGTTACATCACCTTGCCATGACACCTCCCCATATCCCAGCTAGTCGGTGATGTAACTTTTCGTGGGGTTCTGAAATATTAAAATGTGTTTGTGGGGTGTTTTTAAAATTGTATGTTTTTTTTTGTACCTGGGAGATAATAGAGTTTGTACAGTTCCTGACTCAATTATCTCCCAGGCACAGGGGAGGAGTTTGTGTGTAATTGTAAGACCCCCTGCTGGGGGTCTGTGTATAACTTGGCTGTACCATGTCCCATTAAACATAAGTTGAGTTGTATTCACAGAACTGTGTATTGTCCAGTTACTGGGGTAAAATGGATGTCTGTATATTTTAAGGATTCCAGAGTGGCTGAGGGAAGGAATTAGCAAAGGTAACTGGTCGGGCTACCCGTGGTCCGCTACATAGTAATGGTAGGAGTTCTGACATACTTTAATAATGCTAAGTGACTGAGTAGCTGTGGCAACTATCTTTCCTGCTATATACCAAGCTACGATGGAGTTAAAAACTGCTTGTACAAGGACTCTGGGCTCAAATGCCTGTTATTTTGTGTTTGAACATGAAGAAGTATGGAATTATGCAACAGAACGTTGTCTTTGACAGAATAGATTTGAATTTGAATGGATAAATTTGTAATGGCTATAGCTGGTAGAATGGAACAACAGCTCTGCTGTAAAGGGAAGAATGTGTTTAAAATGAACTATGGCTCAACAATGTGGCTCAAATTTCTACTAGTCATTGGTGAGGGGAGATCAGCCCTGACCTGTGTCTTGGACCCCCTCCCTACTGTCCATGAGGATCTACAGTGCTGTGTTGAAGAAGCAACCTAGCCCCTCTTACTTCACTTTCTGCCACTCACCAGGTAGCCACTGTGTTAGTGTCCAGTGAAACATCATTTTTTAAGGTCCTGGGAGCGCACAAAGACTGCATAACTCCCCAGCAATGCACTTCTTAAATCATAAAACAGGGCATCAGCCAACAGTTTACACTTCTTCTAAACAACATCCATGCCTCCTAGACAAGTAGACAGATTTATAGGGGAGAGATGAGTTTTTGACATTGAAAATAATAATGGACTCATAACCATACTAGAATTAACTCTTTATTTAACCTAAACCTGCAACAGGGCCTCCATTGCTTATACCCAGGCAGAGACATAACAGGATGCAAGCGAGACCTTTGTCACACGCTCATTCCACGAGGATCTATGGAAGGGCGCCAGAAGCACTTCTGTCCTCTGTCTCTTCTACTCTGCCATTAAAGCTGCACTCTCTCTTTTTAGAGGTAAAACAACAAAATGCTTCTGCTCAGTAGAGGCAAAGAACCACCAGGCTGACAGAAAAACCAAGTGAGGGAAACAATGCAAACTATACCACCAATTTTAATATGCCCAGGGCAGAGATCTAGGAACAAGGAGGACGAATGTTTAATTTATAGTATTTTTAGCAAACTAACCTGTGTAGGACATCTCGAAGGTGTCCCAAAATAGCTGTGCAAGTTGCACTGCCAATTCTAAAAGAATTGTTATATAGCAATTCACCCAGCCGTCTACCGCAAGGCTAATTGCACAACCCTATTAAACTGAAAATTAGACGGCGCTGATGCATTTTCATGGACAAGAAATTGAGAGCAACCTGTAGAATGCAGGTGTGTAAAGTAGTCATGCAGCTGTACCAGGTAAAGCACTTTATCAGCAGAGGAGAGGAAGGATATAGCCAAGTCACCTGTGCCTCTTAGTCAGTCCTAGAGTGAGACACGAAAAGCAAAACAATCTGCTGAGTAAGTAGAATGTGCAATGACTGGACATCACAACAACAGCCGAAGACGATGGAAGCACACACTCTCTGATCAGGAGAAGAGTGCCATGTAAGTCACGAGCGAAAGTAACACAAAGAATTAAGATATTGTTGCTGGCAACAGAGAACGAGCAGTCGGAGCAACTTAACTACAAAGAAAGAAGAAGCCAAGAAACAATAAATGGTGTCACTTATCACTTTGATACCAATCCAAACAATTGTGAACTAAACATTAATTACCCAGGGTAAAACCTACATGAAAGCCTTAAAAACAGTCACACAACACCAAGCACCACTTTGCCAGGTACCTATCTACAAAATAGGACCCCTTAAACATGAAATCCATCCATTTAAGGTGGATTGACAGAAGTCAATATGCAGATTTAATGTCAAAGTCTGTGTTAAATCAGGTTTATGGAGTAGGTAATCAAAAATAGTACAAAAAGTATGGCAAAATACGCCAATAGAGGAAAGCAACATAAACATTTGCCATCTGAAAAAGAGGATGTCCTCCAAGAGTTTGCAAATAATTCTATGGATCGCTTTCTAAAAGTCCTGTACTCACGTGCATTCCAACCATATGTTTATATGGCCTATACTTTGTGAGCATCTCCAACATAGGTCTGATATTTGTGGCATCATACCATATAATGACTGAGATGTTTGATACCAGCATGTGAACACCTTTTATGACGTCTCCTGAAGTTGGGTCAAGGTACTAAAATTGTGGGTTGAAGCATAATTTTCTCCCAATCTATCTCCTCCACTGTGATTCCCAGCTCCTCGTCCCACTTGCATGCACAGGATTGTAGCATTGAGTATCTATTTTCCACTAACATTGTGTAGATTAGCGAGATGCCCCTCCAATACATGTTTTACTGTAGTGTGCAACATACCTGTCAAAATGCGTTCGATAGTGCCCCTGGTGCATACTGGGAACCGGGATTGCCCCATAGTGGAAGCAATGGGTCCAGGTCTGTAGTATGAAAGTGCCGGACTCCGAACCATCTCCACACCAACATGGTCACAAAGACAAACAGTTTTAGCCTAGCCACCCCACACTGGTCAGCGCAGGTCCAGTATGAGGGAGGACAGCCTCGCTGTCAGAATCTTGTAAAATAATGTAATTTTATGTCAAATGTTGCCAGCAAGGTTTCCCACCCCACTTCCATGATCAACTGAAATGTGTTATCATATGGCTAATAATGAACTGAACTAGCCGACTAGCAAGGAAATGGAACCCTTGAAAGAGGAGGAAGGGTGTCTGTAAGAGTCCAGCAGATGGTTAGACTGGTTGCTCCTGGGGTGACATTAACTGCAGAACTTACAAATGTGATAAAAAAAAACTACAATACTACCCAGTTATATGAATTTCCCTGGAACCTTCTGCCCCATCTGCCTTGTGTAGTCAAAGAAATGAAAATTATGGACTAAGGCGCTAGCTAAGGCAAACTCCTCTCTGCTTCCTGTCATGACCTGAGATTCATTATACTGCATACCAAAAACCTAATGAGAATGTATTTGCCATCCACCACCTAAATTCTAATTTGAACTCTCTCAGGACCCTTCCCTAAAGTGATGATAGATATAATCTCTTGTATCTACGTATTTCAGTATAGAAAATGCCTATATGGTGCTTATCCAATAGATAAGAAGACAAGACTCTGGAACAGCGCTGACATTCTTAAATACTCAGGATGATTTGAGCACTTGGGACCTGTTCATCAACATCACCCTTTTTTGGAAGCCAGTATGACTTTTTGAGCACAAAGCTCAAAAACTATTGACACTCCCAAATGTTTGCCTTGACCTTGGACCTCATATGGAAATGTAAGGAACAAATAGCACAGGCATATGGGCCCCCTAGAGTGTAGCTTTACATTGCATCATGGCTGGGTCTAGGGAGAATAGGAATTCAAAAAGGATAACATTCGTCAGAAATGGAATGCACTTATAAGTAATGCACATGTGCTGTCACAATAGCCTCCAGGGTTGTAGCTCCAAGCCATCAGCAGCCCAGTTTAGCCATGCACAGAGAAGAAAGAAAGTTGAGATGCAGGCTGAAAATTCTCATTTGTTTATTTTTTTATTTTTACCTCCAGTGTCCACATGCATCCCAGCCCCTTATGATGAAACCTGCCCTTGTGCCTGCTGTTGGATTAGAAAAAGTTTGACTTAAATCTTAATAATACATCTTTTATAAATAGAAAAACAGGTTTCCAAATATGAAGCATATTATAATGGCAAATGGATTATTCTCTAAGATAAGATTTCCCTTCTTCGACATGACATTTTCTTCTAGTTAGTGCCAACATCAGCTTGAAGTTCTTTATCCTTCCTGTATAGTGCAAACCCTGTACATAGACTACCAGTCTAGACTCCTTACTCTAATAATCATCTACCAATGTCTGGCTTAGAGGGCACTCTGTACTAGAACGTAAGATAATAATGCTGAAGATTGTCTTTGGGAATTGGTGGAATGTTTTGACGTTAAGCAGATGGGATTAGTGATTGAAACTGTGTCGTTTTAATCTCTATTCCTCCAGCTGGAAGGCCAATCTGCTCTCTCTCTCTCTTTCTCTCTCTATGCTCTGACCTTGAGCCCTAGTGTCGCCTTTGTCAATGTAAATTCATGATATACAGTTTCAATGACATATGTAGATAGACAGAAATCATTGCCAATCATATCAAGAGTACCTGTCAAATGCAAGGTGTCACCAATTCCCAAAAGTAATGCTAGTAAACAATTACCGTATATACTCGAGTATAAGTCGAGTTTTTCAGCACATTTTTTGTGCTGAAAAACCCCTACTCGACTTATACTCAAGTCAATGTCTGTTTTATGGCAACTTACATTGCCATAATAAATACAAGGACCGCCGGGCTCATTACAAGCCCGGCGGTCCTGTTGGGGGCTGGCAGAGAGCTGTAACTTACCTTTCCTGCAGCTCCTGTCAGCTCCCTTCTCTCTCTTCCGTTCCAGTCAGCTTCCCTGTCAGTTCCACTGCAAGAGCCGTGGGGTCAGAGCGTTGCCACTCACACCGCGAGACTTACAATGGAGCTGACAGGGGAGCTGACCGGAACGAAGGAGAGAGAAGGGAGCTGACAGGAGCTGCAGGAAAGGTAAGTTACAGCTCTCTGCCAGCCCCCCTCCTACACAGCCCATCCACTGGACCACCAGGGAATGAGAGCCCCCCTCCCTGGCCAGCTAAAAATTTAAGTAATAATAAAATATTAATAATATTAAAAAATAATAATAATAATAATAATAAAATTAAAATAAAATATTAATAATATAACAACAACAAAAATATTAAAATAATAATAATAATAAAAAAATAATAATAAAAATGCCCACCCTCCACCAAGGCTCTGCATCACATACACAAACACACTCTGCATCACACCCACACACTGCATTCATACACACACACACTGCACTCATACACACACACACTGCATTCATACACACGTACACTCTGCATTCATTATATACACACACACACTGTAAATAAATATTCAATTAATATATTTTTGGGGGGATATAATTTTATTTAGAAATTTACCAGTAGCTGCTGCATTTCCCACCCTAGTCTTATACTCGAGTCAATAAGATTTCCCAGTTTTGGGGGGTAAAATTAGGGGTCTCGACTTATATTCGGGTCGATTTATACTCGAGTATATACGGTATTTTGTTATTGAAGTTACCAAACATAGAATTAGTTATAACATTAAATATTTTCTGAATACTTCAGTTTAATAATTATTAGTGCCACGGCTCATTTACTTTCTAAAGTGATTTTATGACCGAAGAAATTTTAAAGAGACACCGTAGGCAGCCAGACCACTTCCACTCATTGAAGTGGTCTGGGTGCATAATCCCAGGTCACTTAACCCTGCAAAGGTACAGTAATTATTACAGATTTTAATAACTCCAGGGTTAACGCCACCTCTAGTGGCTGTCTACCGGACAGCCACTAGAGGGACGTCTGGGTCGTTTAGCACTTAAGCTCTTACCAGTCCACGGCATCAGGAATGACTATAGCAGGGTTGCCCAGAGGATAGTGCCCCATATAGTTTAGAACTATAACATCCAAGATACTTTGTCATTCTCAAGGCAAACATCTCGGGATCTAAATTTTTGTCTACCCTGTGCTACAATATTCATCAGCCCAAATGTATTCACAAAACAATTGAAAAAAAAAACTTAATCCTTATGCACATTCAGGCCTGGACTGGCCATCGGGCTTACTGGGCAAATGCCCGGTGGGCCGCGATGGCCGTGGGGCCGAGGCCGGCAGGGGATCTCCCCAGCCGGCCCCTGCAGGGCCAGCGCTATCCGAGCGCCGGCCCTGCTGTGTGCCTCCATGGGCCGGTGGGGAGATCAAAGATCTCCCTCACCAGCCCAGAGGCAGGGAGATGCGGCCGCAGGCTGGGGAGGGAGGGAGGCAGGAGAGAGGACCGGCGGAGCTCTAACCAGCAGCTCCGCCGGGTCCTCTCGCGGGATTCTGAGCGTTGCCGCGGTTACCACGGCAACGCTCAGATCTCGCGAGAGTGAACTCTAACCCGCGGGTTAGAGTTCACTCTCACCACTGGGCCACCAGGGAAGGCAGCATGGCTTCCACCCACCAGGCAGAACGGATCTCCACCCCCCCCCCTCCCAGGATAAAGGTAAGAAGGGAGGGAGGGGGATATAATTTTTTTTTTTATTATTAATAACAAAAAATATTTAAATTTAAATAAAAAATACATTCACTCACACCGCCCAGACACACACAGCACCCCCCAGACACACACTTCACCCCCCAGACACACACAGCACCCAGACACACACAGCACCCCCCAGACACACACAGCACCCCCAGACACAGCAGCCAAACTCACACTGCACCCCCAGACATACACAGCACCCCCAGACACACACAGCACCCCCAGACATACACAGCACCCCCAGAGTCTCTATTGACTGTGAGTTTGTTAGAACGGCAGCATAACATGTGCATCCCATGTCACAGTATGGAGTATCGCTTCCTTATAACCTTGCTTCACCAGCAATGGAGTCACAGTTTACTTAAGGGCAGTATGCAGTTATATTTATGTATATACAGCCATGCATCCATCTCAAAAACATAGCACGCATCTGCCCCTATTTAACACCGAATGCGGCTAAAGTGCTGGTCCATGCTGTTGTTCTCTCTCGCCTTGACTACTGCAATCCCCTTCTCAGTGGTCTTACATGTTCCCAGATTGCACCACTGCAATCTATAATGAATGCGGCGGCGAGGCTCATTTTCCTGTCCACTCGCACCTCCCACGCCTCCCCGCTCTGTCAGTCTCTGCATATGCTTCCAGTTAGATATAGGGCTCAATTTAAAATTCTGGTGCTTGCGCACAAGTCCCTACATAATGCTGCTCCAATCTACTTATCCTCCCTAATACATAAGTATGTCCCGTCAAGGCCCCTACACTCTGCCACAGACCTATGTATATCCTCTGTCCGTACTCCCACCTTTAATGCTCGCCTCCAAGATTTCTCCAGGGCTTTACCTCCTCTGTGGAACTCCCTTCCCTTCTCTGTAAGACTTTCACCCAGTCTCCACTCATTCAAAAAATCATTAAAAACTCACTTCTTTAAGAAAGCATATCAATTAAACTGTTAGCAGGTTTTTATCCCCCACCCCCATGACTCCTCTCCTGCAACTGTCAAAATTACCTACTAAGCCCTCAGTGAATACTTTTCTAACAACCTACTTTATACCCCTACTTTTACCCTTTGTGTCAGTATACCCCACTCCCTCTAGAATGTAAGCCCATTGAGCAGGGACCTCCACCTCTCTGTTCCTGTACCTCCAGTTGTCTGGTTACAATTACGTGTCTGTTAGTCCACTCATTGTACAGCGCTACGGAATCTGATGGCGTTATATAAATAATAAAATAATAATAATAATGTAGAATACTGCATATTCAATGTTTCTATTGATTATTTATGGATGTCTGGATTGACATAAGTAACAGATGGTATCAATAAGTCACAAGGTTTTCTTATATGAGAACTCTGGAATGTGGATTGGGGGTCTTGTCCTTATATGGCTAGAGTTATAGTCTGCCGTCAGTGTGGACACATCTATATAATAACTGAACAAAGGGACACAAGGTCCATCTGCTGTCGAACAAGCAATTACCATCTGCTGTCGAACATCCATGATCATGTAACATCCTTTGTTGTTTTATTATGTATCGGTAACTAAGAATAAACCTGAAGAAACTGTAAGTCGGATTGCGTATTAGTACTTTTCATTAATATAGACGTATATTAATGTGACGAGCCTTTGACCCAAGACTATATATACAAAAGATGTATATATCAATGAAAAAAGACACAAAAGAACACAGATTTTACAACCCACACCCGGCGGCATACAGGGCAAGCCGCCGGGCCCCATCCTGGTGTCGGGTCAAGGACCCGACAGGTCAGTCTGCCCTAATGATTAGAGAGCCGCCTTTGCTGCATATATATAATGGCCGGTGCTGCAAAATGTTAAAGTGCCACCTGGAGCCATGGCTCCAGTCTGTCCTAGGGGTGGGCCGGTCCTACCGATGACTGTTAATTACATGAATTAACACGAAATAGCCAGCACATAATGTTTTTAAAAACTGTGCTGCATATCTGTTGATGTTGTTTGTGTAATTATTCCTATAATGAAAAGTGGCACTGTCACCATCTGGGATTGCAAAGACCCCTGATGGTGACATCGCTGCTGGTGGTCCGGTAGCCAGGGGGGACAGGGAAAGGTGAGATTTACTTATCTGAACCTGCCACTCACAGTCGCCGTGATCTTCTTCGGGCCGATCCTCTTCTGCTCCTGGCACTTCAGAACCAGGATGTCACAGCTGTACACTGACGCATACGTGAGAGTACAGCATTGAGGTCTATGGAAGATCACGCAAGACTGCAGGGACTTCTACAGATAAAGCTAATATCTTTGCAGCAGTCTAGTCATGGCTAAGTGATTGACACTTCTTGTTCTGCACAGTGTCAAGAGAAGGAAAAAGTACTGAGACATAGTAGTCCCTACTCTGTCTCAATATATCTTTTGACTGCTTTGAAATTTCAGTGAAATTCACTGAGTGCACTGTGTGTTTTCACATCAGGAACCCCTGTACACACGCAAGGGCGGGCTGGGATGAGGGCAGGGAGGCAATTGCCCCCCAGGCCACCCTAAATCATGTTAAAAACAGCTGCTGTCTCTGCCTGCTTGCCTGCCACGGAGGCAGAGACAGGACCTCTTGGCCAGAGACGGCTCTCAAATTAGGCGATTTAGGTGGCTGCCTAAGGGCTCGTGTTAAAAGGGGCCTCGCGGCCGTCTAAACAATTTCATCAGAGAGCTGCAGTGCTTCACCAATATTAACTTACTGCTGGCAGTCTTTCCCAGTACAAAAATCTAATTTAAGCCTTCTATGCCACTGCTGCGGCGCTACTAATACAAGATGAAACGCCTCACAGATGTTCCATCCATGCTGCGGTCCCATCCTCTTGAAAACCAAACCTTCTGGCAATTGGCCAATCCGCGTCTTGTTACTACATGGATAGTACCGATTGCCTGCCAATTGTGGAGCATGCTGTGATGCCGATGACGTCACGCCGCAACGCAACCCCAACTTGTATTCCGCCGCCAGAAGGAGAAAAGGAGAAAAGAAGAAAAAGAGAGATGGACGAGCTGAAGGAAAGGAAAGGTGAGCAGAGCAGAAGGAGAGAAGAAAAGCAGAGCAGAGCAAAAGGAGAAGAGAAGGAAAGGAGAGCAGAGCAAAAGGAGAGGAGAAGAGAAGGAAAGGAAAGGAAAGGAGAGCAGAGCAAAAGGAGAACAAAAGGAGAGGAGAGCAGAGCAGAGCAAAAGGAGAGGAGAATGAAAGGAGAGCAGAGCAAAAGTAGAGGAGAAGGAGAGGAGAGCAGAGCAGAAGGAGAGCATAAGGAGAGGGGAGCAGAGCAGAGTAAAAGGAAAGGAGAAGGAAAGGAGAGCAGAGCAAAAGGAGAGAAGGAGAGCAGAGCAGAAGAGAGAAAAAAGAGAGAAAAAAAGGAGAGAGCTAAAGGAAAGGAGGTGAAAGAAGAAATAGAGCAAAAGGAAAAGAGAAGGAGAGCAAAAGGAAAGGAGGGGAAAGCAGAATGAGAGCAAAAGGAAAGAATGGAAAAGCAGGAGAGCAAATGAAAAGAAGGGGAAAGCAAACGGTAAGGGGATGAAAGCTCAAGGAGAGCAAAAGGAAAAGAGGGGAAAGCAGAAGGAGAGCAAAAGGAAAAGAGGGGGGAGCAGAAGGAGTCAAGGAGGAGAAGACAGTGTGAGAAGAAGGCAAAGAAAAGGAGATTGGAGGAGGAAGGACAACGTGGAAGACAAGTGATCCCTCCACTTCATCCTGGACACTGGGCTAAGGCTTTGGTACCTGACAGGCAGACTTTGGACCCTCTCATCATCCCAGGTAAAATTAAAAAAATTAAACTATCAGTGTATTCACTTTTTGGATTATGTGAGATGTAGACATATTGTTTATTTTAAAGGAACATTGTTTAACCATAACGATTTAATCTAAATGAAGTTATTATGGTGCCAGAAGGCCCCCGGGTGCTCTATTAACTTAATGGGTTAAAACCTATCCTAGATCTTCAGGTTCCCCAGCAGGAACCAGCTTCTGAAACTGAGTTTCAGAAAGGTCAGAGTGCCGCTGCGTAATGGTGCCGCAGATTGGGTATGGCAAAGAGCTACTGATTAGCATAACATCAATATCCATTATAAAACCAGGAAATGGTGGTCATGGATGGTGAGCTGATTCGGTGGTGCAATGGGCCACTTGACTGGATATGCCCCCCAGGCCTAAGGCTGCCAGCCCTCCCCTGTACACATGATATTTTGCATTTGCTAAAAAAAATAAAAAAATTATACAACAAAATGCTCCAGGGTCAATAGCCCAGGGAAAGTGAAGGCAGCGCTGGAGAGTATTTGCAAGGATTAAATCCTTTATTCAGAGTTTAGCATCACCCACTTCATTTAAAGCAATAGGCTAAATCCCTTTAGGATATCCTCTTATTCTAAGCATCAGATTATTAGCCGTGTGGCCGCTATCTTCAAAAAGACTACAGCAAAATGTGATTGTTTTTCCTAGAAAGGTATTTTATCTAGTTTCAATGAGTTTACCGGTATAAATTTATGAATATAAAAAAAAGACCCTTAAAACAAGAACAGGTTTTGGGTTTTTTTTTTAGACTTAAACTTTGCTTTAGTAAAACACATATATACACTCACAGCCACTGAGTAACACAGGTCCATCCTCGCAGTCACAGTTTCTCTCACAAGTACACTTTAATAAACAATATCAGCTACTGACAATTACATATTAGATGAAATCTGCTCTTACACAGATGCCCAGTAAAACACTATAAACACTTAAAACATGTCAGTAAAACACAGATGATGATGTACAATTGAACATAGATCAGCTTTCAGACACAAAGTAAAACACACAAGCCGGTACGCTGACACAGTGTATAAAACATAGAAGGACCACTCACATACACAGAGTAAATGAAACTGTCTATTTCTGTTTGTAGTGTTTAGGTTCAGTGCCTGTGTGGTGAATTCGTAGTGAAAAACAATAGCCAATGCACAAATCATCTGGACACTGAAGGCACACAAATTGCGTATAGTATAAATAACCCTCACATTAAAAGTGCATATACTGCCAATCATCAAACCCCAAACACATGAGCACACACATAAACTATATTGTGAAAACATAATACAATGTGAGGTTTTTTCCTTCAGTCTTCTGATTTATTAATAAAGATATTTATATAGCCCACAATGGTACTTATAAGATGACAGGGCACCACTACTAGGCATCCAGTGGGTGTGTGCCCAGTCTACTATTTTTGAACTAGATAGAGAATAATTTTGCCGCTGTAACCCAAGGCAGTGACAGGATTAACACACATGGCCCAACATTCTTCCGTTTGTTGTAAAAGTGTCTGTTTTTTTCTGTAGTGTCATGCTTCTGTGATAATCATAGGAATGTAAACATTAGACATACTTTCCCTGGTCAGTCTCAAAATTAAGTTGTTATGGTGCCCTGATGGCCTTATGCTTCCTTACCCGTAGGGGTTAAACTGTTTGTAAATGGAAAGGAAGTGGAATGGACCTCCTGGCACCACAACCAATAAATTTTTGATAAAGTTGTTATGCTGTGTGAAGTGTTGAATCTTAATTGGCTCTGGTATGTATAATTTGTCCCTGCACTCTGGCAATGTGAAATGTATCCATTAGGTAATAAACATGCCTCAAACAATAAAATATATGTTAAAAGAAAAGCAAATTATTACCTCAAAACTTTTGAGACATTTGATATCATAGCACACAAACGTTTGCAGCCAGTTATTGCAGCAACCGAAGGTACAAGGTGAAGTTTTGCAAAGGTAAAATAGACTTAAAAAAAGACTCAAATATCAAAATTATTACTCTTTTTAAAGAACCTTCTACCCCCAACGTTTAGTACATTTCGGAAGGTAAGTTCAATTAAACAGAGATATTAAGGGAACACGTGCATTTTCCAAGCAATTAAGTTGCCTAGAATAAGTTATTTAAATAGATTTTGTAATCACATTAGGGGTTTTCATGTTTACTAATTAATCATCTGATGTTTTGACATTTTTAAACCATCTGTGACCTGATTGTACCAGTCACACGAGTTTCTAAATCTGATGGGGATTTCTCTGAGCTATTGTCTTATGTTCTGACGTAAGGTGATTTAGGGATCCTCCACTTAAGACCCATAACTTGCAGGTGGCCTTAAGTAATGAGATATTGTTTGCTATCTCACCGAGATGTTATTTTTCATTGATGGCTAACTTATGCAGAACAGGTGTTTCTAAATTACATTTCTTTATTTGGGGACTAAAAACACTGGACCTAAATAGTGGATATTGTTCTCAGTTCAATTTTAAAGGATCACTATAGTGTCAGGAAAACAAATCGGTTTTCCTGCCACTATAGTACCCTGAGGGTGCCCCCATCCTCAGGGTCCCCCTCCCATGGTGCTGAAGGGTTTAAAACCCCTTCAGTTACTCACCTTCTTCCACCGCCGGGCTCCCTTACCTCTCCTCCTCCGCCGACATCAGCTCCCACGTCTGACGTCAGCGGAGCGGAATGCGCATGCGCGGCAGTGCCGTGCGCGCATTCAAAGTGTCAATAGGAAAGCATTTTTCAATGCTTTCCTATGGACACTCTGCGTGATGGAGGCATAATATGTCTCCAGCGTCGCAGATACGCCTCTAGTGGCTGTCCAGAAGACAGCCACTAGAGCATGGCTTAACCCCAAATGTAAACATAGCAGTTTCTCTGAAACTGCTATGTTTGCATCTGAAGGATTCAAACCTGAGGGACCTGGCACCCAGACCACTTCATTGAGCTGAAGTGGTCTGGGTGACTATAGTGTCCCTTTAATGTGCAGATGACAATATCACTAGAAAATTTCAATTTCAATCAAATAATAAATATTCCATAGATTATGTATGCTCGTGTGTTTGATCAGCTGGAAAAGTCTTCCAAGGTTATTCACTAAAGTAAGAATTGTTGGAAATTCAAAGTGAATTTAAAGGGACGCTATAGTCACCCAGAACACTTCAGCTCAATGAAGTGGTCTGGGTGCAGTGTCTCAGTTTCACTTAGTCCCACACTGTAAATTATTGCAGTTTTTGAGAAACTGCTATATAACATCGCAAAACCAAGACTACCTCCAGTGGCTATCACTCAGCCACTAGAGGCATTTCCTGGTGGCTATCCAACTTTTGGTCGCCTGACGCTGGATTCCTTCACGTTCCGCATCAGCGTTAGTAAAATTCCTGTAGGAAAGCACTTCGGCATGACCCTCCCTCCCCTTTTACACTCCTTCCAAATAAACGTGAATTTTTTTGGGTGGCATTAGATTTTCTTTTCCTATAGTTTATGATTATTTATGTTATATGTTATGTGCATATTAAGCATGAAAAACCTGTGAAACTTTGCACCAAAATGTAGAAAGTTGCATCTTTGACCCAGTGTTTGCACTTTAGCTGCCGGCAGTAGCATGTACGCCACAAATGATGATATGACAGAATAAAAGGATGGTATACAGGAAGAAAAACTAAGTTTTTGTTATTGCTTATTAGAATTCTGCTTGATATCAATGCCGGATTAACATAAAAAGCTTTAGAGGATTAAGCACTGAGAACTCATTCCTTCAAAGACCTTGAGGATTACCTGTCTTTGAGGGCCGGAGTGAATGCAGGGTCATTTTAGAACAAAACTAAATATAATTTTACAGGATGAACTATTTATAACTATTTAGAAATACAAAGAGAAAAACACTCCCTCCTCACCGTCCCAGCTACCCCAAACTGATGTAAGGACACCCATATGTCCCAGCTACCCCAAACTGATGTAAGGACACCCATATGTCCCAGCTACCCCAAACTGATGTAAGGACACCCATATGTCCCAGCTACCCCAAACTGATGTAAGGACACCCATATGTTTGTTTTTGTTACATATCATTTGAAAAGTCATAATCTACTTTTCATTTACGCTCTAAATTTAACTGGATTTCAGACGTTCTGTTCTTGTTAATTGAGTGTTGTGGCATGTTATCTATTTAACCAATTCATTTTTCTTTAGTATTAAGAAATCAAAATGCATTTTCTGCTTCTTGTACAGATTGTTTAAACAGCAAGCCTCTGGTAAAGTGTAATTTACTCTTTAGCTGCAAAATATAATGAGTTTTGTTACTCAGCAAATGTTAACTTATGCCAGATAAATACAATATACAAATTAATGTTTTAGATTGTAAGCTTCTTTGGGCAGGGCCCTATTCAACTGCTGTTCCAGTATGTTGATTATGATGTTTTTGAATTGAGTGTTTGTTTTGTTTATCTATTGTACAGCACTATGGAATATGTTGGTGCAATATAAATAATTGCATTTCTATGTATTTGTGTTTGAATTAAACTTCTCTTTTTGTTTAACATATCTTGATCAGATGCAGCGTACATTTCTCTTATTCATTTAAATTTCCACTTCTACATCTTAAAACAGAGGGAACATTTTTGTTTTTCACCATAGTGGGAAATCCCTATCCTAATTATGTGTTATGTATTTGGTAATTTTTTCAACATTGTTACATAGTTACATAGGCTGAAAAGAGACATGTGTCCATCAATTTCAGCCTTTCTCACATCTGTTTTTACTGTTGATCCAAAAGAACAAACTAGGAAAAAAAATCCTTCCTGACCCCAGAATGGCAGTCAGATTTATCTTGGGATCAAAAAACTATTACCCTATAAACTAAAAATTATATCCCTAAATATTATGTTTTTGTAAGTATTCATCCAGTTGCTGTTTAAACATCTGTACGGACTCTGATAAAAACACCTCTTCAGGAAGAGAATTCCTCATCCTTATTGTTCTTACTGTAAAAAACTCTTTCCTTTGCCTTCGACTAAATCTCTTTTCTTCCAGTCTAAATGTGTGACTTTGTGTCCTATGTATAGTCCTGTTTAGACAATGGTTTGTATTGGCCCCGAATATATTCGTATAATGCTATCATATCCCCTTGTTTTTATAAACAAAAGGGGTTTAATTTGTTAACCTTTCTGTATAACTAAAATGTTCGATTGCATTGCAGAATAAGTAAAGACTGAGATAATAACCCCTTCTAGATGTATAAAACAACCAGTTTCCCTGTATTAGATTCTCGCAGGGGTCCTTCATGTTGGTGCAACATGATTTTATTGTTTCGTAGATTTCTCTATTAAAGACACCATAGGACATTAGGAGAGTCTCAACTTTTTAGTCTTCATCTGCACATGTCCTTCAATTTAAAATAAATGGGGATAGCAGTGAAAAACATGTTACAGATTATCGACATCCAGTGCAGGTCCACCTACATTCCACTTACGGTAGGCAGACGACTAGTAATTGATATTATGTCTATTGTTTCCCCTGCTCCTGTACGATGCCAATCCCTTTTAATAATATTAACATTTTAGACTGTCGTACTAGTGTAACTTTTATAGACATAGGTAGGGTCCTATTCTAATTTAATGATAACGCCTTCAAATGGGAATAATCTGGATGACATTTATGCACAATATAGATGCACTGAAACATGCACAAGTAAGTGATTTTCCTTTCTGGAAGAGATCAGTGAGTATGTGATGTAAGCACAGAGTGTAATAAATATTTCAACAGGGTTTTTATAAAGAAATGAGCTCAGAATTCCGTGAATGTGGCCAGTAAGTCGAATCACTCTTTGCATCACTGATCCCATGATTACAAAATGGAATTTACTTGCATGTCAAAAAAATATAAGAAATCATTAGATGCCTGATAAAATTTATATCAGTCTCTCCCAGATCTCTTAAATACAATGTGAAAAAAAGCTCAACACAGAATTGAGTTAAACGGTTTTAATGTATTATATATATAATTAAATATGTGTGCATGTGATATTTGAATATATTCTATATGTACATATATATGTGTATGTGTGAGCACGTTGGCTAATATAGCTGCTGATGTTTTCTTCACTTAAATTTTCTTAAAGCCCAGTGCAGTTATTTTGTAAGTTAAATAGAGAACCCAGGGGAAATGACAAACAGCTATATTTGGGAATATAAAATATTCTCCTGGAATATGGTTGGACAGTGACATTCCAATATTATATTTCAGCACAATCAACATAATCAATATAACAAGCTTTTTAAATATAAGTTCCCTTAAGTTGGGATATAGAAACATTTAATAGTCAGTTACAGGTTTGTTAAATCTCCAGGTGAGAAATTCGGATACCGATAATTACAATTATTATTATTATTATTATTAATATGTGTGAATGTGGCTGTGATTTTGATCACAAAACTTTTATATGCACTACTATTCTTGTATATATAATAGATATATAGATATGTGTATATATTCAAGTATATTTTTGTTAATATTTTTATTTATTTTTTTAAATCTGCATTTTAGTTCAACTACAATTTAGATTTTTGTTTAAAAAATCTTAATATAATAAATATTAAAGTAATTAATTTATTATTATAATAAATTAATAAATAACTTATCCTTGAGATCAGAGAATCAACATTTAAAATAATAAACATAAGATGCTTGTTTTTAAATATAGTAGATCGCTATTGTTTTAGTTTTTTATTTTAAAATTACATTTGTATGAGCACTTGTGTCATAATTACTATAATTTAGCCTGTGGGCTAATGTATCCTTTGCAGTGTGTACACAGTCAACATAGCTATAGCAAAGAGCACTCAGAGAGTTTTAAGAACCAAAATATATATTTTATTTGCATCAGTTTGGAAACATTTGCACCATTTGTGGGGATTATCAATATTATGATTGATTTAACATTACTGAAAGTTCTTTTAACTGTACACACTGTGTCATTTGGCAAAACAATAATTGTTCTTGGGGTAAAATAAAATCTGACTTTACCTCCTCTGACCACAACGGTTTCACTAAAAGGGCCATTTCTGAATATATGCAGTGAAAAAACTGGAATGCCGATTAATGCGTGCTTCATATGATATACAGCATGAGCAATGACCTCACGTTTTCCACCTGTCTATCTAGCATGTGATGGATTGGATTGGTATTTGGACCAACTTTCCCTGAACTATATTGTTTTTTTTATATTTGGCACAAACTGGTTTACTGATATCAGATAACTTGTAGGGTGCAATATTTTGACACTGGTTTTATTCAAGTCTTGCTAATATATACATAAAAAATATTGTTATTGCGTCCCACGTTTATCATGATATTGTGCTATGACTAACTGGACCTTAATTGAAAAATATTTTGTTGAAGATTCACTGTCCTGAAGTGGACATAATGTTTGTCCAAAAACCTCTTGCTTTCATTATCACTGGTCAAATCATTTTTTTTGTGTGCATTCAAATGTTAAATCAACACTTCAAGCACTATAATTAAAGCAGCAGAGTATAGTGGTTATTGTGCCCAGGTGCCCCTTAATATAATTTATCTAAATGTTTGCCGATCGTTTGACATCTTATATGGGATCCACTGGACATCTTCTCTATGAGAGAAAGCAGCTGTCATCATTAATCTAAGCCTGGCATTGCAGGGCTTAATTCATTGTCGAAAAATAATCAGTTGACGCTCTCAGCAAATAAGACAGGTTTCAAGGCAAGGTATAGAGCAGCAGAGATAATGGAGCTCCATGCAGGATCTTCCGGGTCTCAATGGAGCAAGTGACCACAGACACCAAATAAGTTGTCAGCCTGTTAACAAACGGTTTCACCATGAACATTGGAGAGGTGCCAGGCATTCCTGGCACCATAACTAATAGAGTGCGCTGTAGTAGTTATGGTGCATGGAGTGTTCCTTCAAAGAGAATTTGTTACCTTAGGTAAAAAGCTAAGGGTATCCTCAAAGTTGTGATTTGTATTGACTTGAGAACTAACCAAAAAAGCTTTGGGGTAAAATTGCTTATATGGAGAGAGCTATACTGAACTCATACTGGTAGAGATTTACCAAAGTGTTCTGTTCCACCAAGTGGTATATAGTAGTAAAAGTGGGACACTCACCATGGAAACCAGTAGATCCCACAGGGATATTCCGTTGGTGATGCCTCACATTTTGTATTTATGCACCACTTTACAATGTGCAAACATAAACTTGATAAACTGCAAACATTTTCTCAACTTCTTAGTTATCTTGTTCTGCACCGTAGAAATAACGTTATTAAAGGTTTATAAAAAGTAAGAAGATACAAAATTGAAATTCATTGTGAAAGGAATCATCAGGTGCATAATAGGAAATATGTATTTACAAAAGGGACATTCAATTATTGTGCTAGTAAATATATTTTGAGACTTAACAATAAAAAAAACAGTTGAGTCTGATATTTACTGGTAACGATAACAGAGTGATTGCGAAGAGACTACAGTGTTTAGATGACAGCATGATTATGTAAGAACAAGACTCTTGGAGCAGTATATTTTGTAGACTATTATGGGGATATAAATAGATGAAAATTAGTCCAAAAATGTGCAAATATGGGAAAAAAACACACACTTTACCATGTGATCACCCCTCAGAACAAGGAGAGTCTCCAAAAAGGTAAATTGTGCAGGAATAAAATTTATAGTGTAAAAAAAACTTTTTGTCTTGAGTCCAGTTGTTTCAGGGGCCTTCAGGGAGTTCGCCTGAACTAAAAATAAATGTTTTATCCAATTTATAAAGTTCCTGTATCCTTTCGCTTGACTAGTTAAATTCTTCTAAATTGCTCCTCCTTATTCTGCAATTGTTGATTAGATAATTAAATATCCAGAAACCAAGTGGGCTTGTTCAGTCTTTCTATCTCTGACTCTTCTGTGAGGCTGTTCTTTCAATCTTTCAATAAATGTTCTGCTATGTAATTTGTGTTATTTATATCAAGAATGTTATACTTTACTCTTGTGAGTGTTTTCAATATCGGTAATTTGCAGAAATATTTCTGTAGGACCTTTTTTGCTTTTTGTTTCTGTTGATTTCTATTTTTTATTTCCATTATTCCTTTAATATTGGAATTTGAAGTGTCCTTCCATGAGGCTATTTCACAGTGAAGTTTTTTTCTTCTAGTTTGACGATGCCACCATTAGTGGTTTTTTGAGTAATGCTGAATCTAATCAATTTTAATTATTTTTACCAGCATCACTTGTACTCTTGTGAATATATAAAACCCTGTGAAATATTTCTTGCCAATATCTTTCATATGAAATTAATGTTTACCCCATAAGGAAAATGTGTAGTTATATTTTGATTACAGCATCATATGAAAAAAAAGTTGCCGCTATATTCTAGGTGGCATAAAATTAGCGATTTTGAATCACTTTGATGGGTATTTCGTTATCCATGTTTCACCGCAAATATTTTTGTATCTATGTTTTAAAGATGAGACAATTCAGTCTACACTTCACAGAAGTTGTTACAATGTTCTCCTAATTAGAACAAAAAGCTATCCTTCTTGAGGTGGGATTAAACAAATGTGTGTATAGATCAAGGGTGTCCAAACGGTGGCCCGCTGACCGCATGCAGCCCAGGACAGCTAGCATTGCGGCCCGGTTGCAGTCTAGGTAGAGAGGGACTGGACTGGCTAACCCAGGCAGACAGCTCAAAAAGTTTAAAACTGCCATTTAAATAATTTTCCCCTTGGACTGTGACAACCTGTGTCAGTCCGAGGGGATTAATGAATGGGGTGCTGACGGCCGGAGGGAGACCTGTGAGGCTCCCTTCACAATTTTCGGCAATTCCCTGTCCATGCTCCACCCACGCATGCAAGCTCCACCTCCTGCACATAAGTCATGCCCCAGTTGCAAGCTCCGCCCCTGAACTCAAGCAGGAAGATGTCAAGAAATGGCTCCCACAGTCTTCAGTGCCAGGTAAGCTTCAGCTAATTTGTCAGTGACTTTGTGTATATGTGCTTGCTAGTGAGTTTGCTTGTATGTGTGTGTGTGTTTAAGTGAGCTTGTCTGTAGTGAGAATGTGTGTGTGTGTCAGTTAGTTGGTATATTGTGACCTTGTATGTAGTAAACATGTGCGTGTCAGTGAGCTTGTGTGTGTGTGTGTGTGTGTATATGTGTGTGTGTGTGTGTGTGTGTGTATATATATATATATATATATATATATACACACACACTACATGGCAAAGTGATGAATGTAATTATTGTGTATGATTTGTCAGTGATTGTGTGTGGTGGGGGTCTATGTGTATGTCTGTGATTGTGTTTGTGTAAGTCAATCATTATATGGCTGGGTCTGTGATTGTGTATGTATAGCTCTGATTATTTGTGTGTTTCTGTGATTATGTGTTTGTATGTATGTGATTGTGCATATAGATCAGTGATTATGTGTGTATGCGTCTGTGATTGTGTGTATATCTAATTATGTGTGTGAATGTATGTGATTGTGTGCATAGGTATGTGATTGTGTGTGTGGGTCTGTGATTCTTTGTGTATGTATGTGTTTGCATGTGTTTGGGTCTGTGATTGTTTGTGTATGTATGTGATTGCATGTGTGATTTTGTCTGTGATTTTGTGTGTTTGTGTAAATCTGTGCTTATGTGTGTATGTATGTGACTGTGTGTATAGGTCCGTGATTGTGTGTGTATATTTGTAATTGTGTGTATAGGTACGTGATTGTATGGGTTTGTGATTGTGTGTGTGTGTATGTATGTGATTGTGTGTATAGGTCTGTGATAGTATGTGCATGTCTGTGTCTATCTGTGATTATGTGTGCGTATGTGACTGTATAGGTCTGTGATTGTGTGTATGTGGATCTGTGATTGTGTGTGTATATTTGTTATTGTGCGCATAGGTCTGTGAGTGTATGTGTGTGTCTGTGATTATGTGTTTATAGGTTTGTGATTGTGTGTGTGTGTGTGTGTATATCTGTAGTTATGTGTCCATGTGTATGTATTTAGTAGATATCTCCCTAATTTGGTATCCTTAACTATGGCAATTCCACATAAGGATAACAAATAAGGGAGTTATCTACTAAACACAATTAATAAAATTGTTTTTTAAGTTTTATTATTTAAATTAATTATATTATAGATTTTATGTGTGTCCTTTGTGTTCAATGCAGCCCAGGGAAGCCAAAAGGTTGGACACCCATGGTATAGATGGATTCTCACATTGCTGAGAACATTACTGGCTATTTGTGTTCAGTTATGTTTCATCTGTATGACACATGAACATTAAACCCTTGACTAAGGGTCACCAAACAAAGTACATAAGCAGCTTTTGCTGAGAAGATAACATAAAGCAACAACTATCATAGTGTAAATTACTGTTTTTCACTTTGACCATTTCCTCAAAGAAAGATGCTGAGCATCCATGTCAGGTTTACCTAATCAGAGCACCTGTTCTGCAACTATAACAACTCTTCTTTACCAATGGGTATTTCTTTGCTTAAAAATGGTAATAAAAAAAAGTACACAGTGCTTTATCTGAGAACATTAACCTCCAGTGTTCCTTGATTTCAGGAACTGCTATTCTTTTTTGTTATAAACAAGTTTAATCTTCAACAGTCATACTCAACATGGACCATCAAACCAGTGATAGCAAAATCATGTTAATAATATTTCTTCAAGAGGATCGACTACCCTAAGCATGTCTAACTCAAGTGAAATTTCTGGAGTAGATAGTTTTGTGTCCACAAAAGCAGGTAGCTCTTCATCGCAAATACAATTGAGTGCCACTTCATTTTCATAACAGAATGAACTACGTCCAACCACTGAATATTTGCTTTCAGATAGCTCTTTGGCGCTGCATGTGGGTGTAGTGGGCACCTCGTAGGTGCGGTGAAAGTGCAAGTAGTCTACTTCATAGTGATTCCGTTTTTCAAAGAGGACTGGTTCAAATCTGCAACCCCATATAATCTCATTTGGAAGATAAGAGCTGCGACATTGAGTGGTCATGGCTGTGGCTTCTACCATGCCTTCAAGGATAACAACCAACTCAAAGTTAGCTGCTTCCAGTTCTGCTTTTCCAAATTCATACAAGGGACTTTCTTCATCAATCTCATGAACAATAGTTATTGGAGATACCAGGAAGATTCTGTCCGTGCCACTGTCAAACCCTACATTGATATCTCTATGATCCAGAGGTAGGTACTCTCCTTCAGGGGTCACCCGAGGCTGATAAAACAAAATACAAGAACCATAAGAACTTTGAAGAATCAATCATATGCATCTGAACAGGCTAAAACAAAAATACAGAAACCATTAGCACTTCTAAGCATCTATGTATCCAATGCAAATTACCTACATTCCAGAATGATATCCCATGGGATTCTAAACATGAATTAGCACACCCCTATTAATTCCTAAAAGATACAAGGAAAACTTTCATCAGTTTAATGCACTCAGAAATAAATTGGCTAAATGCACACACTGAAAGTTTTCCAGACTTTAAACAAGTAAATAAATAAAAGAATGAACAGTACATAGCCACTGTAGGTATATGTAGTGGATTAAAGTGTGTGATTAAGTTTCATGCAAAAAAAATTCTTGATTGTTTTTGTGTGAGGACCACGTCATGACACCTCTTAATATAAGCAATGCATACAATGCACGTATATACAATGCATGAACATAAAATACAAGGAGTGCAAATAAAAATGAAAACTTAATAACTAAAGAAAAACATGCATTATAAAGTTCCACTCACTTATTGCCAATGATCCTCTAAACAGTATATCTTACTGCACACACTGCACACACTGCACACTGCACACACACTGCATTCATTATACACAGTCTGCACTTACTACAAACACACTACATTCATTATACACACTCTGCACTCACTACACACACTACATTCACTATACACACTCTGCATTCATTATACACACTATGTACTCACTACAAACACTACATTCACTACACACAATCTGCACTTACTATAAACACACTACATTCATTATACACACTCTGCACTCACTACACATACTACATTCACTATACACACTCTGCATTCATTATACACACTATGTACTCACTACAAACACTATCTTCACTACACACAATCTGCACTTACTATAAACACACTACATTCATTATACACACTCTGCACTCACTACAATCACACTACATTCATTATACACACTGCACTCACTACAATCACACTACATTCATTATACACACTACACTCACTACACACACTGCATTCATTATACACACTCTGCACTCACTACCATCCCACTACATTCATTATACACACTGCACTCACTACAAACACACTACATTCATTATACACACTCTGCACTCACTACACAGTACATTTATTATACACACTACATTCAGTATACACACTCTGCACTCACTACACAGTACATTTATTATACACACTACATTCATTATACACACTCTGCACTCACTACACAGTACATTTATTATACACACTATATTCATTATACACACTGCACTCACTACAAACACACTACATTCATTATACACAATCTGCACTTACTACAAACACACTACGTTCATTATACACACTCTGCATTCACTAAAAATACACTACATTCATTTATACACACTGCACTCACTACACACACTGCATTCATTATACACACTCTGCACTCACTACAAACACACTACATTCATTATACACACTGCACTCACTACAAACACACTACATTCATTATACACAATCTGCACTCACTACAGATACAGTACATTTATTATACACAATCTGGGTGAGTTCTGACACTTTTTTTCCCCAGGACTTGACCCCTGCTGCACAGACCCCTTCTCTCCCTTCTCTCTCAGAGGCCACTTCCTGTATAGAATCCCTCTCTCCCCGCACTCACAGATCCCTTCTCTCCTTGCACCAAGGTGCAAATAGAAAATCTTTTCCCAAACAAAATATTTTTTCATTTAATAAGTGCCAATACAATTGTCAGCTTCACCAATAATTATAGATAGCCACTTTTTTGGTGAAACCTCAGGCGGCAAAAACTCTAGCTACACCATTGCTCATAACCGTCTGCACTATATATATATTATGGTCATTTAACATAAGGAACTCATGATGCTGACAGGTTTGACTGAAGATTCTTGATACCCAGAGTTCCTTGTCCATTGTACTGACTGTCCTCCACTGACATACTGAATCTTGTTGGCAAATCCCCTTCTAAAAATTAGCTTGTTTTATAAAACCATTGAGTTATTTTGTGATTGCAGATGATCTACAAGTTTGAAGTGAAGTTGGATAGAATCCTAGATTCTGCCATCTTATTTAAAGGACCACTATAGTGCCAGGGAAACATACTAGTTTTTCTGGTACTATAGTGCCCTGGGGGTGCCCCCACCTTCAGGGCCCCCCTCCCGACAGGCTCTAGGGGGTGGAAGGGGTTAAATTTACTCTCCTCCTCCTCTCCACCTCTTTCTCGTCTTCATCGGCTGAATGCGCATGCGCGGCATGAGCCGCGCGCGCATTTAGCCAGTCCATAGGAAAGCATTCACAATGCTTTCCTATGGACGCTGGCGTCTTCTCACTGTGAAAATCACAGTGAGAAGCGCGGAAGCGCCTCTAGCGGCTGTCAATGAGACAGCCACTAAAGGCTGGATTAACCCTATTATAAACATAGCAGTTTCTCTGAAACTGCTATGTTTATAGAAAAAAGGGTTAATCCTAGCTGGACCTGGCACCCAGACCACTTCATTAAGCTGAAGTGGTCTGGGTGCCTATAGTGGTCCTTTAAGTTACCTTATCATCAATAGGTGTATTGTCAATGAACCACAATATATTTTCTACCATGGAAAGATTTTCTCCAGTAACAGTAAGTTATAGCTAACATATCATTCTAAATACAGAGAATTCCATATTGATGTGTATGTGTAATCCCAAAATCTTCTTAAATCTATCTTTATATTTGTGCCTTAGAAATATGTATTTTAATATTTGAGCTACTGTATAGGTATTACAAGAACAGGTGGTGGCATGTTTGACCATGACAATCTGGATAATCTGTTACAAGTATCAAATAATTTGTGATCACTTTTGGGTTATTATTTAGGGAATTATGAACCTCTTGGTTCCAAATTGCATATTAGTTTTCCTTGGATCTTGGCTCAAGATTTAATTTAGTAATTTTTCCACTAACTACCTTTAAGTAAATTTTGTAGTTGTTTTTTTAGTTCCAGTTTGCTCTATTGAAAGGGGCTCCATGCTTCTACTATAGCTGACAGAGAGCCAAAAGCTCTCTATGTCAGCTAAGTCCAGCAGTTCAGGGCTTAGCTCATTGGCTAAGAATGATCAGATGACACTCTCAGCTATTAAGTTAGCACTGCATCACAGGTCTTCACTCAGGAGAGCTAGCAGCAACTCATAGGTAGAAGTGTTCCTTTAAAATAAAACATCTTTGTAAAGATCATAAATCCAATCTGATATCAATTTACTTCCAAAAAAGGTCTATCCCAAAAAGAGGGTAATATTTCAGATGGATGATGAGAACCAAGAGTAATGCCCAAAACAGAAACTCAAAGTCAAAGAATGTAGAACTGAAATGCTACAAAAGCATGTATGAGTGTACTTTTTAAGTCAAAAAGTAACAATTCATCTATAATGTATATATATATTTTTCAGACTTAGGCCTCGATTAATTATTTTTTATTTAACAGGTTTTCTGTTCCTAGGGTTCCATAATATGTGGAAAGGGATCATTTCTAATTCCACTCTATACATTTACATTCACATATTCAAAAATAAGATATTAAAGGAACACTATAGGGTCAGGAACACAAAGATCCTTTAGATTTAAAAACACCCCTTAGGTGGCTTGTCCCCCTTAACCCCATAAGATGAGGTTAAAACTCACCTTGTTTCCAGTGCCGTGCGGGTCCGCCGGCTCTGTCCCCGCCCCGATCCACCTCCTTGGTGACATCATCAGAATTTACAATTTTTAGCCAATCCAATGCTTTAAAGGGAGAGTATCGGATTGGCTAAAATCGACAATGGGGGCAGGGCCAAAGCTGTTGCCAATCTGCACCTCCTCATAGAGATGCAATGAATCAATGCATTTCTTTGAGGAAAATTCAGCATCTCCATGCAGACCGTGGAGACGCTAAATGGCAGTGCTGCCTACTGTGCAGCACTGCCCCAGGAAGCGCTGGCGTTATCCCTAGGGGGCAATGTAAACAGGCAGTGTTTGCATGAAAATGCCTGAACAAATACAATAAGCTGTAGTTGTTCTGGTGACTATAGTGTCCCTTTAAACTAAGGAAAAAGAAGAAGGTAATATATGTTAAGGGAAAAACACAAAGGTGTCTGTTTTCATCCATTGGTGGTTTCATAGTTGGGACCGTAAAACTGAGAGCCCAAGAAACCAAACTTGAACAATGCATGAGTCATCTGCCACATATACTTAAAGGGTTACATGATATGCTATACCACATTCAATGTTCAATTTATTTGTTTTCTATTGTTAAAAGCATTTTGCACAATAGAGAATTGTGCATGTCTCGTTCTGTTCACAGGAATTTTGCTGTTTCCATTAAACTAGAAGATGTTACTACAGCAGAATGCCCCTTTTCCCTTCATTTGTTCGGCTGTCCGTACCCCTCGTTCGTTTACCGAACTCTCCTCTGTGTGGTCCCTGAGTTCGGTTATTTTAACAACCGACCACCCCTGACTGTTAATCTCAAAATTGCTCATTAAAGGAGGGTTCCCCTTCGGCCATCTTGTCTCTCGAACGTGGGCAGCGGTATATATGGTTGTGGACGGCTTGGAACTAATTTCGGCTATTGGACTCCGCGAACACCCGGTAAATTATTACCGCTGCCCATTCAACTTCCCGAACCAGTAGAAGAACGGCATTCGGGAAACCTAAACTAGGGGGAACATTCGTATGCTAGCAGCCAGGGGGAGCCTTCATCACATTTGTGCGAGAACTCTCGAAAGAAGACTGGTCAAAGCCTAAAATACTCTAGAACTATTTTGGGGCTTCACCTTGTGGTCGAAGGGTATAAACTTCACTCGAATGGCGTTCCTAATCTACCAAACGGATCTGAGTGATATTTGGACAAAGTGGGCGCTTTCGTGGAGTTCTGAGATATTAATATATATGTTATATGGTTTTACAATATTGTATATTTTCTATACCTTAATTAGGTATAATTAAAGAGTTGTTCTTACTCAATTATTTCCCAGAGGAGGAGTCTGTGAAATAAAAATCAGTTGACTCCCAGAACTGTGTGTCGTCCAGTTACTGGGGGGATTGTGCCTTGGATATCATATTGCTTCCTCAGAGTCTACAGCGGAGATATTGATGCAGAATTTTGGAGCTCCGCTACAGTTGCTTCAAATTAATTTAGTATTATATTGTGAATTCTCACTAAAAGTATTACTATTTTATGTGTTTCACCTCAATATTGATACTTTAAATGGGAGGGTAGCTTGAAAATAATTTGGGATTAATAACTATTTCTAATAAGAACAGTGATGTTGGTAGAGATAGTGTTTTTGGTGTAGAATACCATTATTTAAAGTTGAAAAGAAATATTGATTTGGAGAATTGCTTATAGTGCTTATGGTGCTGTATGTGGGCCAGGGTTTTTATCTGAGTAGGTGCATTTAATTGTTTCTTTCAGTTTGTTCTGAAAAGATACGTTTCAATGAATGAAATGCCATATTATTAGTAAAGCCTATTTCTTAAAGGTGTAAATATTTTTCTTGAGATTCTTATATTTCAAGTAAAATCATTTTGTATGACATAGGGAGACATAATAAGCAAGAAAAATGAAATATTACCAGGATCATATCTACACTCTCCGTGTTTGTTTTTGAGTTTGTTTATCCTTTGCTTAAAATTTGAACACATAATACGTTTTGGTACTTCCCACCTGAATGGTTAGCTAAGATACTGATGTAAATTTAAAATCAAGGTCACGTCCTTAATATATCTTTGTATCTTTTTATCCAAAGAGCAGATAGGAGCAGCGTCTTGGGATATCCTTAAATTTAGAGAACTTGATAGTGTGATATGTCATGGCCAAAAATATGTATAATAAAGTGATACACTTACACTGTATGGGGCTTTATGTAAGGGCGTCTTTTTATCCTACTTCTTTTTTAATACAACATACTACACTATCAAATTCTATCTTTGTCTCATTTTTATCGTTTCATGTCACCAAAATCAAAGGACTTCGCAAGGCACTACTGCTACGTGCTACCTCCTCCTTGAATACACTTCCGATTACCAGGAAAGAGCACTCTCTTTGGATTGGGTTGTTGAGCTGTCTACCTCTACCCCATCACCATTACTTTGATTTCTATTATATTATCCTCCTTATCTGTATTTTTTTTGTTTAGTCACAATCTTAAACCTCACCTGTAATTATTAAAACCTTCAATTCTAACTTACCTCATTGTATTTCCTAATCCTAATGCTTACCCTTGACTAAGTCTAATTCCTGACTTTTACTTAACTTACTGGTATCATTATTCTTTTTAATCAGTGGAGATGCTCAATTTGATCTCTGTCATGATTGGCTGCAGTATACCAGCAATTATTATGCGTACTTAGATCAGGGTTCCAACAGAATCCATCATAATTTTGGCTTTAGTGAAATGGGTGTCGGGGGTCTTATGTAGTTTACCTTGTGTGCAATTTCATGAAGACTCACAATTTAGTGAATAATCATAACTGTTTTCCACAATTTCTTGAGTTGTATCCAGTTTCTTTATGTCAATATATATCACATACCCATGAAACTTTGTAAATTACTCACATGCTTATGTTTAAGTAAAACTAGCTTTTACCTGAAGAAGTTGGGCCCGAACGTGTGCTTCCACTAAGTGGCTTTTCCGTAGATTTGCAACTCTCCACATGAGACATAATTTTCCATCTCTAAGAGCGACAACTGCATTTTCAGTGAAAACTAATGTTTCATTCCTTTTTTTTGGTTTGGCAATTTTTGCCATGATGGCTCCAATAATGAAGGCATCAATAATGCACCCCACAATGCACTGCAGCACTACAGTTAACACTGCCAATGGGCATTCCTCTGTCACACTTCGGAATCCATAGCCAATGGAGGTTTGAGTTTCTAAGGAAAATAGGAAGGCTGCCATAAAGCTTGTAACTTGGAGAAAACATGGAGAGGGTGGGGTCTCCTCGGAGCCAGGTTCTGGTGGTGGTGCTAGGTCTCCATGCAATGAGGCGATAAGCCAGAAAGTTAATCCAAATATGAGCCATGAAACCACAAATGTTAAGGAGAAAATCAGAAACATCCATCTCCAGCGTATGTCCACACATGTGGTAAAGAGGTCAGTCAAGTAGCGTTGGCTCTTTTCACTGAGGTTAATAAACTCTACATTGCAATGACCATCTTTCTGTACAAAACGGCTACGCTGACGGATTTGCTTTGTATGTACTTTCCCATTACGGTAGTTAGGTGTCCTCATGCTCTGTGTTAATTCTGATTCCTCCTCATCTCGTAGTGGAGCTGGAATATCTGCACTGAACCGGCGGATGGCACGTGCAACCCCCATGGCCAAAGCGCCACGGGGGAGGATCGTGGTGCTACCCAGCTTGCCGGGGAGAGAATACAGTATTGATGAGAAAATCTGTCTCCTTACAGTATTAAAGGCACAATATGTTCATAATGAAGTCCTTTTTACTTGTCCTGCATCAAGCAAAAAAATATGTTAGCATTAAAAAGGCAAAAAAAGTATGTTTCTCAATTCTCTCAATAATTAATTGTATTTACTAAATGCATGATATTCAATAAAACAATTCAAATGTTAACAGATTCCATCTGGAAACTTCTCACAACTTGCTAGGTTGGTTCATTCATGTTTTTCCATGAAATTAAATTTTCCCCTATCTGCAAGTGCAGCTGTACAAGCTCTTTCAGAAAATCTGAGGACCCATACAATTCATCTAGTTGTACACAGAAGAAATTGTGCTTCACAGACTGAGTGAGAGCAGAAAGCTCCTTGTCTGAGTTAAGCCAGGCGGTGCAAGGCTAAGCTCAGGCGAGTTAGCGGACAGTCCTATCAGTAGCTTCCTGCTCTCAGAGCTGAATAGGTGGACCCCCGGTAAAAAAAATCAAACCATTCTAAAGAATTATAAAGTATGCTGTAGTGGTCATGGTGCTTGGAATTTTCCATTAGGAAGTTATTAGGTTTAATCTTTCAACATACTATTGAGCAGAGTAAGTGATGAGAACCGCACCCAGTCCCAACGGCCAAGGGTGCTCCAGAGCAGGACCAGCAATCCCAGTACAATAATCCAAGAGGAAAAAACTCACAGGCACTCCAACTTCAAGCCGCAGGCAGATTTATTATGACAGAATGCAACGTAACGTTTCGACTGGAAAGGCTTGAAAAAGACCTGTCCGGTCGAAACGTTGCGTTGCATTCTGTCATAATAAATCTGCCTGCGGCTTGAAGTTGGAGTGCCTGTGAGTTTTTTCCTCTTTAATCTTTCAACATAATGATAAAACATAATTGACAAGCCAGATATAACGCATAGCAGCACAATTTACTAGAAAAGAACATATTTATATAAAAGAGACCACAGTGTGTCTTTAAACGGACACTCCAGGCACCCAGACCACTTCTGCCCATTGGAGTGGTCTGGGTGCCAACTTCCACTACCCTTAACTCTGGAAGTGTAATTATTGCAGTTTTCATAAACTGCAATATTTACCTTGCAGGGTTAACTCCTGCTTTAGTGGCTATCTAGTAGACATCCACTAGAGGGCACTTCCGGTATTATAGCACACATTCCGTGTGCTATAGCGTTGCTGGACGTCCTCATGCTATGTGAGGACCTCCAGCGTCGCTGAAATCCCCATAGGAAAGCATTGAAAGCATTTTTCAATGCCTTCCTATAGGGAGATCTAATTCGGTCACCCCCGCCGGCGGCCACGCATGTGCAATAGGTCTCCCCCGCCGGATGACGGCGGGGGAGGAGCGTGGGCGGACCCTTACCCAGCACCGAGGGACATCGGCGCTGGATACAGGTAAGTCACTGAAGGGGTTTTAACCCCTTCAGCAACATGGGATGGGGGGTGGGAGGGAGAGGGGACCTGCAATGTCAGGAAAACGGTTTGTTTTCCTGGCACTGGGGAGTCCCTTTAATAAACATGATAAAAAATGACTCCCTTTAACTTGTCTATGCTTGGCTAATTTTTACATTCTGGTTCACTGTTTTATACATTGCAGTCTGGATTGCATTAATTTACCTCCTGTGGCTAATAACTAAAATTCAAATACTGCTACATTCTTGATATCCCTATGGAAATTTATTTCACATTTAGTCTACAGCTCTTTATCATAACTTTAATATCTATAATGCAATTATTTCATGGTTTTCACTTTTCCTGCCCCACTACTCTCAGTATATATTTTTTTCCAACACCTTATCCTACCTTTTACATGTTTCAGCTGGATTACCTGAATATTCCATTCTGGGTCCCCTTCTATTTTTGAGAAAAGTATGGATTGCTGGATCAAAGGCACACTCTGAAAAATTACACAAAACAGGTTGCTGTTATCAACATAGTAATGTCTACATTCCTTTGAGTAGTAAACAAAATGCAAAAAAACAACTCTGTAAAATGAAAAATAAATAATGATCAAGACAGAAACAGCTACATGAATAAAAGTACTAACATATACAATTATATTAAAACATTCAAATAAAAGATAACATCCTGCAGCAAATCCAACAACCCTCAGTCCTCATCTCACTCATACTCAGTGGAGCTCTGCATTTAACATCCGGTAGCAAATCCAACAACCCTCAGGTATTGAGTGAAGCTTGGAAGATACTTCACCAAATTTATTCTAGGATTGCTACCATATTATCATGTGTTACTATAGAATTGTTACCAGTTATACCTGTAGTTTGCCACAGTAATTTTCTGTGCATGCAGTTTTCATTATTGTCATTTAATGTTTCTGACCAATAATTAATGTAGAAAGTTAATAATATTTTGGGTGATAGAATTTGGTTGCTAAACTTTTCAATAGTATATAACACATGGCTACTCTACCTTCCCCTCTCCCCTACTCCCCATCTTTACTATTCTCCTCCCGGCTGTAAATACCTTCATATAAGTGTTCCATCTCTGTCCTTCAGGCCTCATCTCACACTCATACTCAGTGGAGCTCTGCATTTAACATCCTGCTGCAAATCCAACAACCCTCACCACTTCCCACCCATCCACCCAGCCAGGTTCCCCCTAAATATATAGCATGCTCCTCCAGCTGTTTGAGATTCTCACTCTATTACCTTTTCACTCCCTTTACATTTTACCAATAGCTGCTTCTCTCTGCTAACTCTTTTAGCCGTCACCTCCAAATTTCCCCTGCTTCCTAGATTGTAATCTCACGGGCTATCTAGCTAAGCACTTTGTTTCAAAGAGCTCCAATGGCTAGTTATCAGCTTACGGGCACAGCTTTCTCTACTTCTTGCATTTGTCTGTGTATATTGTACGTTCTCCACTAATTGCAAATCGCGGTGGAATCTGTTGGCGCTTTTTTAAATACCAGTAATAAATAATGAATAAATAAATAAATAAATGGTAAAATCAATAACAAAAATGAAACAAGTCACACTAAAACAGCCTTGACTATAAGAACAGAAATAAAAATGGCATGAAGAACCAGAATGTCTTTTTTAGTAAAATAGTTTGTAGTGACTCATTCTCAAATCAAAAGCCAATTATTTACAGGGATGTGATGGTATGACAAGGAGTACATATAGCAAATATGTATATAAATAAGGTCTCATTTCAAGCACCTCATCTTTGTTGTTGTATTTTTAGGTGGAGTTATTCGAAGGATCAATTTTTAATGCCCTTCTATTTTATCTTTATATTGACTCATTGAGACATGTTGTTGGAAAAAGTTGCACTTCTACCCACTGTTAGCTTTTTTTTTGGAGTAATTACAGAGTATGTACAATGTCAGGAGCAATCATATTGGATGTAGTGAATTATAAATGCAAATATAGTTTCCTTAAGCAAACTAAACATTATATTCACAGTCCATGAGACCCCAGCCTGTAACAGGAGAGGTCTAAATGGCTCTCTACTCTACTCTACCTTATTCATGGTGGGAAGATTCAGATATGTGTATGGTGTCCCTCAAACCCCCAAAATAACCTGAGTGTTTCAGTGAATAACACAAATACCCAGATCCACGTACCTACCACAATTAGGTATAATGAATGGGTCTTTAAAGTTAACCACAGCACCCTAGCTACAACCCTCCAAACAAATTTGAAGGAACACTCCATTGTTTTTATTTTTCCAATGTTTAACTATTTAGTAGATATAAATCCAAAGAAAACATGTATGTATGGAAAGCCTCTCTGCTGGAGCTGTGAGTAAATGCACATGATTCACAATTATTTTTTTCTGCTTTCCAAGGATTCTCAATGAGTTGTAGTATAGCTGATTGAGAAGGTGGTAAGGCAGGTGTGCTCTAGCCCAGCTCGCTTGCCACTTCCGTTGGCTCTGTGAAATGAAACAAAGTCCTCCACACCTGTCTGAGTGGGAGCTGGGTAGCTGCCCCAGTTATAACAATGCCAATTTTTATTGACATTCACACTTTTATAAACTGTCAAAAAAGAATGACAGACTCCAGTCACATAAAGGACTTCCGAAAGCTGAAGTGCTTTACAGCAATAATCAAAATTATTCAAACCCCATTGAAAATCAGGTTTGTTGTCAGAATGTGCAGACTTTCAGCTAATTTCAATGAACAAATCAAGCAAAATCATTTGAAATAGCTTGACGAATGCTTCAAGTGGTTTCCCCAAATTCACCTGAAAATGCAACTTATAATGACTTCTCCAGTATCAAAATTATTTAACCCCCTGAATAGAATCCCTAACAACAGCACAAATATGCAAAACAGGTGTTGCCTCAAGCACACCTGATGCAACTAATCAAGGATGTCATTCGTTGCAGCAGTTGTGCTTGAGCTGGAAAACTTAAAAATACCTGAACTGGCTAGGGGTTTGTTGAGTGTCATGTTTGACTGCAAACAGCTGAAAGTCTTTAATTTTTTTACATTAAACCTGATTTTCAATGGGGGTTGAATAATTTTGATTACAACTGTATGTGTCCAGAATGTTCTTTTAACCATCATATCTGCTCCCTCTCAGTTTTTATTTGGTATTATTTTGTGTCTGGTTATGAAAGCTTTTTTTGTTTCGTTTTTTGAGATATTGAAAGAAGAGAATCCATAAAAGGTTCACACAAGAATTCAGCAGTTTAGTAGGAATTATTCTTTTTAATAGGGTTTATAATTTTTTTATAAGGCTATATCTATTATCGTCCTAAAACTGATTATTGAAAGCAGGGGAGGTATGGTAATTACATGTTTGGGGTGTGAAAGTGTAGAAGTTTATGGTTAGGATTTGTCTCTAAGAGGAAAGGTAGCTCCAGACTTTTTTTTGTATTCCTATAAAGGCAAAGATAGTGATGGCTAATGAATTACATTTTGGAGTAAATTAGTTGCTCTGCCAAGAACGTGTCATATTTACATTATATTATTCAGTAGTTAATGCAAATAGTAAAATATATTTACATTTTAATTTGAAGAGATCCCTGTTCTCATTGGAAGGGCACATGATACTTTGTTTGTTTGTCTGTCTTTCTGTATCTCCTAGTTTCCAAGAGGAAAGGGTACAAATTTTTCTGTATCTCGTAGTTTCCAAGAGAAAAGGGTACAAAATAAGCTTAAATTAATGTTAGGTGAAATCATTCTGATACGTCACTGAAATCTTTTACTTAATTTGCAATAAAGTAGGTACCATCAATCACACAAAGCTATTAATATTTATTTTCCCCAGTAAAGTTTCATTTGCACTCATTTTTTATATGCGACATACGTTCAAAGTTATTGTTATTTCCAAACAATTATGCTTCAATTAAAAAAAAAAATCTAAATGTGTTCTTTTAGACAATTTTTACTTTTGGAACAAAAAGTGATATTTATGTAAAAACTAATCTTAACAATTAAATGAATACCCATTTTTAAATATATGTTTTCATCATACCAAGTCATTCTAGACTTTTCAATAACGTTTAATAAATGCACTGTTATGTAAAATTACATTGTGTCCTCTGGACTATTTGGGTCAAGTCCTTCTCTCAGCTCGGGCCCTCGTGACTGTTCCAGACATCGAGCATGCACACAAACCCTTGTGTTTTCTCTCTCACCACACAAGAGCTGCTTATGTTTCCATATAAAGCAGATGTGAAGCTTAGAGGCAGCACAGTCGGAATTTCATGACAATGTCATATCTAATCTCTGACAAGGTACAATTTGCATGTAAGGTCAGTGATGAAACTAGAAATATCTATGCAGTGTTTCCTATATTAACCACAGTTATTGATTGTATCTATTTTATTTTTGATTTAATGATAATACAGTTCTCACAAACACATCTTTTTACTTATATTACAAAAGATTTCAAATTTATCAATAACATCATTAGTAATTTTTACCTTCTCATGTCTTTTGACTTAAGGGACCACTATAGTGCCAGGAAAACATACTTGTTTTCCTAGTGCCAGGAAAACATACTTGTTTTCCTGGCACTATAGCCCCCACCCTCAGGGATCCCCTCCCGCCGGGCTCTAGGGGGAGGAAGGGGTTAAACTTACCTCTTTCTCCAGCGCCGGGCGGGGAGCTCTCCTCCTCCTCCTCTCCTCCCTCTTCTCATCCTCTTTGGCTGAATGCGCATGCGTGGCAGGAGCCACGCGCGCATTCAGCCAGTCCATAGGAAAGCATTCTCAATGCTTTCCTATGGACTCTGGCGTCCTCTCACTGTGATTTTCACAGTGAGAAACGCGATAGCCCTCTAGCGGCGGTCAATGAGACAGCAACTAGAGGCTGGATTAACCCATTTATAAACATAGCAGTTTCTCTGAAACTGCTATGTTTATAGAGAAAAGGGTTAACCCTAGATGGACCAGGCTCCCAGACCACCTCATTAAGCTGAAATGTTCTGGGTGCCTATAGTGGTCCTTTAATGGGGGTTATTCTAAACAATCAATACTGGTTAATTTTTATCTCTGTTTGTTTGTCTTTTTTCCAAATTAAATACCAGTAGCATTCTACTTTATTCTTCACCCACCACACACACACACATCTTCTTCTGTATTAACATATTTTTTTAAGTACGCTCTCCTTGCCTCATCTTCTGCATTTCAGTCACTAGATATCATAGTAGGGGTTTATGCATATGTCCAGCTTAGAAAAAGTAATTCAAAATAAATTCATTTATGTTTCTTGATTTATAGAGTACATAATATGTATAGGATTTCAGCTTATTTTGAAAGTTACAGGTCACAAAATACAAGGACTAAAGTAAAATTTCAATGTGAAACTATTTTAGAAAGTGGTATGTTTGTCTTGTAGGTTTAGTAGCCATCACAGAAAACAAAATTGCCACACAAAATTCTATATTTATCTAAAGTAGACACCACAGGCTATTTACCTAAGGTTAGTT